GGGCAGTCTGTTCAATCCAATTCCAAGCAATTTGAGGTTCGGCGATTCGATCGCCCAGAAACTCTTCTGCTCCATTATCTTTCAGAAATTTGAAAGTGATTACACGCGGTGGCGGCGGTGGTGGTGGTTGAAACATTGGAGCATTGGCCACTTGTTGAAGCAAGTTTGCCAAGAAAACAGGAATTGCGTAGTCAAGTTGACCACCAGCATTCGCATTGTTCTGAGGAACATCCTCTTGGTTGATAGGCTCGTTTTGGATAGGAGGGGTGAAGCTAGATGCTTCAGTGTGAACACTAACGTGTTCATTGTTGCCTTGTCCGTGTGCGGTTTCTTGACTCATTCTACAATTGACAGAAATTCCTTTATTAGGATTCTTTATTTGGGTAGTTGAGTTCATGACAGAAATTACAAAAGATTACAATAATTGATACAATCAAGGGATTCGATCAACAAGATTTATTCTAAGCGTTTACGTTTGAATAGTTGGATTTTCTTGAATTTACGGAAGGATCTTCCACACCGGATCCGCAGATGCTGTTGGCAGAGTCTATGTTGAACGTCTCTTCTGGGTCATCCTGTTCCCATGCAGCCTTGCGGCGCAGATAAATCCTTCTTTTCATTATTTTCGCGAAGCGATGGGCGCGTTGATAACGTATCAGGGAGTCATATACATTTCGTTTGTTCTTTCGTCTTTTACCATGTACGAAAGTGCGACTTGAATCAACACTTGATATCATTTCCGAATTAACAGTTGACATCTATGAAATTCAATACAGACACATTTAATACTTAGATTTTTATTACCTTCTTGGAGCAGAGGGATGCGAGAGTCGTGGATGTGATTGAAATTTTCTTTTTTTATATAGCCAAAATATATATGTATATAACATATATATATATATTTAAATCCAAGTTTTGATCCGAAGATCGGGTTTAAAACCATTTGCTCCGATACAAAATTGTAACACCCTAATCCGTCCAGGTCTGCAGCCCTTTTCGGACTAAAGTATAAACTTGATATTCGTAAACATTTAAAATATTTCAAATATTTAAAACTTTATTTCATAATAAATAATTCAAAATAGTAACGGAGTAATTTAATGTTGCGGAAGCTTAATAAAACATAAAACAAACATAATTAATTTTTGTCTTTTCAACAGTAATTTAAATGCAAAACACACATCCGTCCGATCTTCTCGTCCCATCTGCCTCCAGGAAATCATTTCTTCATTCTTTTTGTTTACCTGCGTGTAGCAAATAAAACATACTACACGCTCAGCGTTTAAGCTGAGTAAGCTAGTCCAATGCGTCGAACATCCATATAAACTGAATCTAAATTCATAATCAAATCATTTGATATCATGCATATAATGTTCAGTTCAGATAATCAATAATTATTAAAAATTATTCATCATGCATTATTCAACATTTATATTCACATTCAATGTTCATTAGTCATTCATAATAATTGCAATATTCAGTTCAATATTCATCAGTCATTCATAATAATTGCAATATTCAATTCAATATTCATCATTCAATATTTACTCATAATCAATATTCAATATTCAACATTCAACAATATCCTTAAACTATTCTTAGTCTAAGACCAATCACTTAAATATTTGTCAACCCTTAAACGAATTCTAGTTTAAATAATTAAACTATATTCCAGTATAAAATATTCCTAAATAATCCTTAAGCTAGGCCTAGTTTAAGATAAAAGGGTTTTGAAAATCTTAAACTTACCTTCACATAAGGCCAACAAAAAACCGACAGCGTAGTGTTCACTGTTGGGTGGGTGGTACCCCCAAACGAGTAGGTACTCAAGTTTGGTTCTTGGATCCCGTACGTACGTTTTAACCCTAGCCACCGGGGTTCATACCCGCAAGGCCTAACTTAAATAGGTATATCTTAGAGGTCTTCTAGATACCTTTCAAATCGACATTAATATGGGTATATCTTAGAGGTCTTCTAGATACCCTTAACAATATATTATTTTCACAATCATCAATATATTCATTATGATTAAATCATTCACAATTATCATTTTAATCAGAATATTTATTGAGATTTAATCATCATAATCATCAATCAATAATTATTACCATAATCATTAATCAACATAATATTCAATAACAACTAGCGCCCTAGCTTCGGGTGTTAACACCTGAACTTACCGACATGCATCACATAACATTTTTATTTGTTAAAAACATCATTTTTATTGTAAAGAATCATCCTTAAAATAATCATAATCAATTGGTATCAAAAATAGGATTTTAGAGCTCAAAAATAGCAATTTCGGGCAAATTTTCGGATCAGAACTTCGGGGGATCGATCCATACCCTGAAAATTTACTCCTAGGGGATCGATCCAAGCCCCTGGATCGATCCAGACAGTGGCTTTTCAGCCACTGTTCATCGTCTTCTACCTCGCGACTTCAATTTCGGGAATTCCATTTTTAGGTTCCAAACTTCGATTAAACTATATAGAAATGTTCTCCAAGGTTCAAAGATCATTTTGGCATCATTAATTCATAGTTTTAACATCAATTTAATGATTTATGATTCTTGGTTCTTCAAGCATGTCCAACACAAAACGCAACCAAACGACCGTTTATGAACATAGAAACGATCTATACAAACATTCTAGTCATTAGATATATCTACGGGCTTACCTCGAAGCGTAATGGAGGTTTTGGAAATTTTCCGGCGAAACTTCCGGTTGAGATAGGGGATACTAAGGCCACCCGGAAGTTGGACATGGAGTTCGTTGTAGTGGGGATAATCTCCAATACCAACATCATTCTGGGCAGACCCGGATTAGAAGATTTGGAGTGTGTCATCTCACCTCGTCACCTATGCATAAAGTTCCCAACTCCCCATGGAGTTGGAATTGCCAGGGGATCCCAGAGGGTGTCCCGGGCGTGGTATTTGAAGGCAACTAAACAGCCTATCAAATACGACACCCAAGTGGGGGAGGTGACCACACATCTGTTAAGGACTGAGGAGAGACGTCCCAGAGTAGAAGTTGCAGGAAACATTGAGGAGGTTGAACTGGAGCCGGGCACGCCGGGAAGGTTGGTCACAATTGGAAAGGACCTGGGGGCTAAACTCAAGTCGCAGGTGATCTCTGTTCTTAGGAGGTTCAGGAAGGTCTTTGCATGGAGTCCAGCTGATATGCCAGGGCTGGATCACAAGATTGCAGTCCATCGCCTCAATGTATTGCGAGGTGCTAAACCGGTAAAACAGAAACGGAGGCATTTGTCGCAGGAAAGGAGAGATTTCGTGAAGAAGGAGGTAGCAACCTTGCAAATCATTGGACACATCTGGGAGGTGCATTACCTGGATTGGTTGGCAAATGTAGTTCTGGCGCCTAAGCCTCCTTCGTGGAGAATGTGCATCGACTACACGGATTTGAACAAGGCATGCCCAATGGATCCGTTTCTTCTCCCTAATATTGACCAGATGGTGGATGAGACTACCGGATCGGAATTAATGAGTTTCATGGACGCTTTCAGTGGCTACCATCAGATTCGGATGCACCCGGCTGATGTGGAGAAGACGAGTTTTATGACCCCTGAGGGGCTGTACTGTTACTTGGTGATGGCATTTGGGATGAGAAATTCCGGGGCGACGTATACCCGGATGGTTTCTCAGGTGTTCAAAGCCGTCCTGGGGCGGACCATGGAAGCTTATGTTGATGACATGATTGTGAAGTCCAAAGAGGCCCGAGACCACGTCCAGGACCTTGAGGAGGTCTTTGAAATCATGATGAAGGTAAATTTAAGATTGAATTTGAAGAAATGTACTTTTGCTGTTCAGGGTGGAAAATTCCTCGGGCATATGGTTAGCCGGAGAGGGATTGAGGCAAACCCGGAAAAGGTTAGGGCCATCATGGAGATGGAACCACCGAAGACGGCGAAGGAAGTCCAGCGGCTGACAGGGAGACTAACGGCTTTGAATCGTTTCCTTTCAAAGCTGGCAGAGAAGGCGCACCCATTCTTCACTATAATCAAGAAGAGGGCGACCTTTAAGTGGACGCAAGAATGTCAAGTAGCATTCGAAGAGCTGAAGAGATATCTGGCAAGTCCCCCGGTTTTGTCCGAACCGGAACCCGGAGATGTCCTGACCTTATACTTAGCGATTGCAGAATGTGCCATCAGTACTGTGATTGTGAGGGAAGAGAATGGGGCCCAGCATCCGGTCTACTATGTCAGTAAGACCTTGAGAGATGCAAAGTTAAGGTATTCCCACCTAGAAAAGGCCATGTTAGCGGTCTTCTGGACGGCAAAGAGATTAACCCCGTACTTTCAAGCTCACCAGGTTGTGGTCCTCACCAATGAGCCTTTGGCGTCACTTACCCGAAGCCTGGCGGCATCTGCCCGGATTACCAAGTGGGCGGTCTTCATCAGTCAGTACAATGTGGAGTTCAGGCCGCGTCCATCAATCAAAGGGCAGGCGCTCGCCGATTTTCAGGTTGAGTGTACCGCTAGGGAGATGACAAGAGCCCGGGTTGAGACCCGGGTAGAAGATGATTGGTGGGTGATGAGCATTGACGGATCTTCTGGGTCCCGGTCCTGTGGAGCAGGTATTGTTCTGATTACTCCGGAAAATTTCTGGATATACTACGCTATCAGATTTCAGTTCCGCGTGTCCAACAATGAAGCTGAATATGAGGCCCTGATCAATGGACTGAAGATTCTCCGCAACCTAGGGGTGTCCAGGGTTCAGGTATATAGCGACTCCCGCTTAGTTGTAGGACAAATTAGTGGAGAGTTCGAAGCAAATGAAGAAAGAATGAAGAGATATCGAGATTTGTCTTTGGAAATGTTGGGAAGGTTTGAGTTTAAGCTTGAACACATACCCCGAGCACACAATGCGGAAGCTGATGTTCTGTCCAAGCTTAGCGTAGAATCACCAGAATATATAAGCAAATTAGCAACGGTGGAAGAGTTGGCAACCCCGAGTCTCAATAGGGACGACGTGCTCTGGGTATGAGCTGATCCTCCGGAATTGTTAGACAGGTTAGCCAGATACATTGAGGATGGCGTAGCCCTAGAAGATTCCCAAGAAGCACGTTTGCTGCGAATGAGGGCACCCACCTACAAGGTGCAGGATGGAATCCTTTATAAGCGGTCTTACAATGGTGTTTTACTCCGATGTCTTAGGGCAGCTGAGGCAAAAGCGCTTGTGGAAGAAATACATGAAGGAGTGTGTGCCGCACATCAAGGCCCATACTCTATATCTAGAAGGGCGATAATCCAGGGATATTTCTGGGCAACGATGAGGAAGGATTGTGAGGAGTATGTGCGCAAGTGCCTAACTTGTCAGCAGTTCCAGAATATGCCCGGAAGGCCGGCCACAAACTACACGCCCATCAGTTCGGTAATCCCTTTCTCTAGGTGGGGAATCCACATTGTGGGCGCCCTGGAGAAAGGAGTTGGACAGGCAAGATGGATAGTGGTGGCCATAGATTATTTCACCAAGTGGGTAGAGGCTGAGCCACTTGCGGGGATCACAGGGAAGCAAATGATTGACTTCGTGGGAACCAATATGCTTTGTAGGTTTGGGGTCCCAAAGCAGATTATATCCGACAATGGAACCCAGTTTGAGGAGACGGAGTTCCAGGATTTCCTCAAAACTTGGGGGATTCAGCATACAAAGGTATTTGTAGCCTATCCCCAGGCTAATGGTCAGGTAGAGAACGTCAACAGAATGATCATAAGCGGAATAAAGAAGAAGCTGATGTCAGAAGGAAGCAAGTGGGTGGATGAAATTTCCAGAATCCTGTGGGCATACAGGACAACTCCAAGAAGGGCCACGGGTGACACTCCTTTTGGCTTGGCCTATGGGTTTGAAGCCCGGGCACCAGCTGAGACGGTGATCCCAACCAGGAGAGAGATGGAATATGAGCCGGAAGTGAACGAACAAAATCAGGCTATAGAGCTGAACTTCGTAGAGGAACGAAGGGATGAAGCGCGGATCCGGGCAGAGAATTACCGTCGCCAGGTGAAATCTTACTTTGAAAGTAGGGTAAAACCGCGGGCGTTCTAGGTGGGGGATTACGTCCTGAGGAAGCGAGAAAAGAGTCAACCGACCAAGGGCAGAAAGTTGGCCAAAAAGTATGAAGGACCTTATATCATCAAGGCCGTTGTTCGCCTAGGTACCTACAAGTTGATGACTCCAAAAGGAAAGGAAATTGATAGGACGTGGAATGTAGAGCACTTGGTAAAATTTTATCAGTAAAATTATTTTGTAAAGCGTTCTACTTTTTGTTTAACGCATTTATTTTAATGAAGAATTTCTTTTCTCTAAAGCCAAGTGTCTTTGCAATTCCATTGTTCTTTAGATTTCTCAAAAAAAAAGGAGGGGGGAGAACACCCTGGGCGAAATAGACCCAAGTACAGGGAGGTAGATAAGTTTATGCCACCTGCTAAAGATAGGGGAGGTAGATAAGTTTATGCCCCCCGGAGGTAGATAAGTTAAGCCTCCGTAAACTATGAAGGAAGGGTTGGGATTGGACTTTGAGGGCCTTTACAACCTGGAATTCAGGAAGAACAGCAAACAGACTTCGAGGGCTGAAGCTTAGTATTCCACCAGCACAGATCAATCGAGCAAACAAACTTCGAGGGTTGGCGCTCAACTAATCCAAGATAGATAAGATTATGCCTTAACCCGGAGGAACGGAGGTCAGGGGCAGATGAGGTTAGCTCCCATGGCATGTCCAAACCCCGGGAGATGAGATTTTATACAAAGAATTAAACATGTTTGTACTTGCATTAGATGATGTGCAAAGAACTAAACATAAAGGACTATATTGATGGGCCAAAGCTTACACCTTTGGTTCACAATAATGGTTCCTAATGAGATGAGAGAAACCAGAGGATAGGGAAGTTCATCGATTGTTAATTCGAAGGTTGTATCTTTGAATTACAACGATAATTCCTAATCTGAAATTAAAGGACATTCCTTGGTATGGGACATGGGAAAAACTCCCGGACCAAACAAGTGAATGCCTCTTGAAATGAAACAAGAAAAGGAAAACTGATTTGCAGGGGGCTATGCGCTGAAGGAGGGCCAATTGCACCCATGCAGTCAACAAGAAGGAGGTGGGGGCCCCCTCCATGGGCTCCTTCTCTTTGACGAAGGACACGTGGCGGAATCATCAGCTTCATCCATGTCATAGTCTTCCCACGTCCCAGGTCGGGGGGCAGGTGCTCCAAATGAAGAACCGTCATTGGGAGACTTTGGCAAGTTTGGAGAAGCTGTCCGGCTTTCATGCGACGGTTCTGCCTCGACAGTCGGAAAAGAACGCCCAAGTTTAGCCTTGCGCATCCTCTGGTACAAGGCGAAGTCTTGGAGGGTCATAGAGTCCCAATCTATCCTCCCGGATGGAAGCCTGGGTGGACTAGGAGGTGATGGCGCAGGAAGACGAGGTACTGGATAGAGTCTTGAGAACTCGCCAGGGCTCAACCCAGCCATGTCATTGGATTGAGCCGGGGAGGCAGGAAAATCATCATCTGAGGATGAAGAAGTTCCAGAAAGGGTTAGGTCGATGAAAACCTTACCCTGAGCTTTATTTGCCATGGCGAAGAAATCAGAAAGGAATGAACCAGCAGAAAACCATCCTTCCCCATTTATAGTGAAAGGGGGGAAGGGATGGTTGGGAAGTAATGAATATGGTTAAAAGATGCGGAAGACTAGGTGATTGGCGAATGAAGCAGTTGAAGATTCCCAATGTTTGACCACGATTCCGCCACTTAAGTGCATGGGCTAGTTGGGTGGGCCCATCCATACTCTGGGAAAAACGTCATCCTTGGATGGTAAGGGGTTAAACAGATATAGACTTCTACTTCATGCAGATGACGGTACGCACAGTATGATTATATTAAATGACAGAAGTTAAAGGCTTTTCATTAAATAGCTCAAATAGAAAATTACATTCTTTTGGGTTACAACAATGGGCCTTATCCCTGATCTAACAATAGAATATTAAAGAGATAGGAGATAAAGATTTTCATCGGATAACTCAAATAGAAAAGTACATTCTTTTGGGTTACAGTAATGAACTTTGTCCCTGATCTACTTCTATCCTACTACTGGAAAATCTAAAGGCTAGGCGAATCGACATTTCGAGGATCTAAGGGAATGCATTCGCTGACCCTCGCTGCCCTACCTGAACCAGAAAAGAACCCCGTAGCGGGGAGATGTGGATAGGGCCCATCATCCTCTTGATGCATCCTTCAAAAGAAAACGAAAGAGTACCAACGGGCTGGGATTGAAAAGCATCCCCCTGTGGACTCCCTCAAGTCACTCCCAAGAAGGCGAGCAAGGAGGATGATGAGGCATGAGGGAAGGACTTACGGCTTATTTCCGCCTATACGGAAGGAGGAGGCGGATCCTGGAAGGTTCCGTCCTTTTCTCTCCATATAGACGGATGCCTATTTCCCCCCATGTCATAATCCCCCCATTCCTCAGGCTGCTGCCCATATGACTGCTGAGGGGAGGGAGAACCCTGGGAGGAAGGCCTCACACAGGAGACCAGCCGGATGGCTCTTGAATGAGGATTGCGTCTCTTCTGTGGGCGGGATGTACCAGGACAGCCAGAAGAGACTTCCGTCTTGGCACCGTCTGGGAGCACGCTGGAATCCGGGAGAATTCCCCTTGATCTTTGTTGGGGAGGGTGGAGATGGTTCTCCCCCCGGGGCAAGGGAGAAGTCACTGACTGTTCGGAGGCGAGTGAAGGCCCAGAAGAGAGTTCAGGTGTTGGGGCTCCAAGTGAGGGAAATGCCAAGGAAGAAGAATCGGAAATAGTTAGATCAATAAAGACAACTATGTTGGCATTATTAGCCATGTTGAGGAGTTGATTGTGATGATGAAGGGGTTCAACCTGGTCCCTTAAATAAGCGAGTAATGCTAAGGGAGAAGTGCAAACGACGCGGAGTCAAAGTGCTTATCCGATTGGGAAGCAGTTGCGGATTCTCGAGGAAAGCTAGGGTTGCACCGTTTCATCATTGGGCTGAGGTGAATTGGGCCCGGCGTAATTAAGGTGGGCCATTCACTTAGCGCAGCAGGAAAGAGCGCCTTACAAATGTGGTTTAAGCCCAAGTCTTAAAGCAGATAAAATTTTTTCTAAGTCCCAAAACGGGATAAAAGCCCCAAAAAGAGAACAGTTAGCTCAATGGAAAGAGTCTACAGGGATATAAATACAAAAGAGACACTGGAAAAGGACAAAGTGCTACAATCGTTACAAAGTTGCTACCCTTTAAATGTTACAAAATAAAATTACAACAATTGTTGGAGAGAAAGGAAATCAAGGCTCCTGATTGGCATGAGAATCTGGGGGAGGAAGAGGAAGAGTCAAGCCATAGTAGGAGATGAAGTCATCCAATGACCGGTGGGCCGGGAGTCCGCTCCGGATTGCCTCGTAGATGCAGTGTCGCATGTCAAGTTTTATGTCTTCGTAAAGGGCCTCATCCCGGGCGGTCAAGGCAGCCACCTCCTCTTGATGGGAAGCCATAGTCTTCTCCAGTTCTCCCATCTTTGACCGGAGCTCATTGGCAGTTTTCCTCTCCTTCTCCAATTTCTTGAGGGCAAGCTATTTTGCCCCATGTGTTTCAACAGGAGATCGCTAAAATGGGCACCCTCTTGCTTGGCACCCTGGAGTGAATTCTCCAGCTCAGACATCCGGGATTTCGGCTTTTAGACTCCCCACTTTGTCTTCTAAATCCGAGGTTTTTGACTCCAGGCTGGAGATTTGTGCCCGGAGTTTGTCGAACTGCGTTTCCAGATCTTGGGTCCCCCTTTGGCAGATAGCAATCTGCTCTTGCAGGGACTTGACCCTGGACCTTTCAGCCATCAGTTCCGCCGAGCCATCTGCCTTGAGCTTGGCATTCTCTTCTTGAAGGGCCCGGACTTGTTGTTCTAGGGAACCAACTCTATGTTGTAGAGCCCTGGCGGCCAACTCCTTTTCCTTCAGGACCACCATGGCCCGATAATTTCCCCATGCTCCACACAGGTACTCCTCAGTCAGGGTGAGGAGTGATTGTTGGGCCTGGAAAGGAGAGGGAGATGTCAAGAAAGGGGATAACTAAAAGAGAAATAAAGAGACTTTTGAAAGAGAAGAGTACCTGCTCCATGGAGTGTAAGGCATTGAGGGCAAGTAGGTCAGGGCGTGCCTGGGGGATTATGGGCTCCTGCATTGATTCCCTCATCTTCTCTAGGTTCGCCTGGATGGTCCAGTGGGAGGCCTGCAGGGAGTTCAAACTGCGAGAAAAACCTACCCAACCCTCCTTAAAGGCAGGGTAGGTTTGTGGCGTGAACTTGCGCCGGATGGGGAGGTTGAAGGCTGGGGGTGTTGCGGCGGAACGCTGCTCCTCCGGTTCCTGCTGTTTCCCAACCTCTCTCTCCATCTCTGGGGAAGCTTCCGTCTTTTTCTGCCCTCCAACATCTTTCTCCATCGCAGGGAAAGCATCTGGTTCCTTCTGCCTCTCAGCTTCTTCCTCCACCCCTTGGGAAGTAGCTGCAGTTGGTAGGGAGGTATTTTTCACTGCAGTTGGTAGGGAGGTATGCTTCACGATCCAGACTATCCGGGTTGGGCAACTCCAGACCTCCGGATGCAGCAGCAGTGGTGGTATTCTGAGTACCAGAAGAGGCAATCAGGGGGCTGAGCAAAGCAGGAATACCATCACCTTTACTTTTCTTTGGGAGGAAGTCGTCATCAGTGACCCCTTCCCGTGGCCGCCTCCGGGATGGTGTGGGCTTCCTTAGCCCAGGAATGGTAGAGATGGGAATGGAATCTAGGGTAGCTGACGGTTTGCAAATGGCCAAGGCAGTAGCGTTACCTTGGGCCTGGTTCCCTGAGGAGCTCTCGGCTGGATGAGATTCCACTACGGGAGAAGCCTTTGACCTTTCAGGGGAAGATACCCCTTCAAATGGGATGGGGACAGGACCAAGAGGGTAGTAGAAATCCGCCTTCTTGTACCACCTGGCGTCCTGAAGGGAGTGATATGAAATCAGGCCCCCCTCCTCTCCCAGGGCGTTGAGTGCTGCCTCCGCCTGGGGTATGGCTGCGAACGGAGTCCGGGAGAGAGAACTCCGGCGTACTGTACCCGGCAAATGTATGGGGCTATGCACCGGGAACTCGATGACGAAGTAGCGGTGGGCCCACTTGTCAATTTTGGACTCAACCCTCTCAAAGGCCGGAGATTGGGGATGAGGGAACAGATTATAATAAGGGAAAGCCCCATCGATGTTGAAAAGGACGAGGAATTTGTCTAGGGTTGGGGTTCTATCCAGGGCACAACACCACAAGATGTAGGACCCGACATACTTGTGCGCATTCACGGTCAGTTGACCAGGGGGAACCCAAAAGCCTGGCAGATGTCACGGACCAAACCATTGAGGGGCAATCTGAACCCGTTCTCCACCGAATGGTAGTGCATGACCATATACTTCTGGGGGTCCGAATTATGAGATAGACTGATTCCTCCGACAGCATCAGGATGGTGGATCCGGAAGCCTCTGCCCAGAAATTCGGCCATTTCTCAAAGTTCATCCTCTTTGATGATAGAGGATTCGTGGACCCAAGTTGTGGGATCAGCGGAGGGGGCCATTTCATAGAGAGAGATGAGGATTTGGGGGTAGTTGCTGTCGAAATTCGGGTCGGGTCAAGATTCAGCAATGGAAGAAGAAGATGAGTCCAGAAGGGGTTATATCCGTTGTAAGGAGGGACCCAAGGCACTCGAGTGCGACATTTCTAATCCGACACGAAAACCGAAGGCGGCTCATCATTAGTTTTCTAGCGACACGTCGCCAGAAAACTAGGGGGCTTGTGATGGATATCGGGTCTGATCGACCCGACTCCAGACCCAATAAAGGCCCACAATTGTGCAAAGTGGACAAGTCCAGGTGCGAGTAATCGATCGAGCCCACCTAGGCGCATGCGAGCGATAAGACTGACGGTCCAATCATGGGCTGAATGGGGATAATCCAGTCCAAGAGAGAAAGAGGACACGTGGCCCATGCCAGCAGATTGTGGGGGGAATGGGAAGAGAACGAGACCGGAAAGGAAGGAATCACAACTTCATGATCTCCATAATTCCTTCCATTAGGTGTAATGTTAATTGAGAAATTAGAAGTACTATAAAAGGGGAAAGAACCCGGTATTGTAAAGGGATGACCCCAGCAACTACATACTTAATTAAAGAATATATTATTACGAGATTATATCTTTTCTGGTTCATATTACTTTCTTGGTCCGCCATCTGATCGGGTTAATCCCATCAATAATAATAGTAATAATAATAGTAATAGTAATAGTAATAATAGTAATATAATAAATATAATAATAGTAGTAATAATAATAATAGTAACAATATTGTTCTTATTAATATTAATAGTAATAATAATAACAATAGTAATAATAATTATAATCATATTATTAATAGTAATAGTAATAGTAAATGTAATAATAATACTAATAATAATAATAATAATAATATTAATAATATGAGTTTTGTTTAGATCTAGTATGATCTGATCTAGTCTGATCCGATCTGATTTGATTTTAATAAGAATAAATAATAAGAAAAATAAATAAATTGAAGGAAACACTGCCTTACACATTAGGTTTTTAACAAATTAGCTTTAACAGATGCTTGGGATTAGACAAAAGTAATCTGACGTGTTTTTATCTCAAAACCCGACCTGAAAATACTGAGTTTAATTTTGAACAAAGATTTTGTTGACTGACCAGAAACGACCTGCTAAAAATGGGTCAAAGCCGACCTCAAACCCGACCTGATACTCTAAGAGTTTCTTAAAGCTATAAAGTTTAATAGTATAAAAAATAATGGTATAGTTATATTTTTTTTTCTTACTACTCGTTTTTAGTATATAAATTTATATTTTCAGACAAAGTTTTAACAATATCGCATAATAACCTAAGGAAAAAATAATATAAGAGTAAAATATTGAAAATATACCAAAATAGTAATTTCATACGAAGGGGAAGAAAATTCATTTGTAAGTGATCCACCGATAAGATTCAAAATCACTCGTTTGTCTATATGAAGCAGAGTATTTGAGAATATCTCACATTTAAAAAGCGAAATGAAAATTATGGATATATAAACACTTTATTCAATTAGGTAATGGATTGGATGATCCCCACCAATTCCAAATTCTATGAATTGCGCCACTGGAATTGAACCAATGGCTTTTAATTTGGGAGAGTAGCCACATTGATGTTACTAATCAACAAGATTTTGGCGAATTTTCAAAATTTTCAAATGAGTAATTGACAGGTAAGTTAAATCTAGATCGAGTGAACATTTACCCACGTGATATCAGAGATATGAACATAATTATCAATAGCATTCATAATAATCTATTGATTGTGTGTCACACATTCTTCATCTGTTTCTCTATTTCGTTTTACTTTGTTTAATAGAATTTAATTTTAATTAATTTTTATGAAAATCAAGTACTATCCCCCTCTATGAGTATTTATTTAGTTTTTATGTTTTCATTCAAAATTAACAAACTTGACAACTAATTTAGTAAAATTGACATTAGATATTGATACAAAAAAATATTAAATTTATTTTGTGAAATATTTTCAAAATATTGTTCTATCCAGTTAATGTATCATACTTCTTTCGTCCCTAAGTAAACTTTCCTTTTTGACTTTTTGAGGATTTAAGGAAAGAATATTTTTGTATTGACTTTTCAAAAATACCCTTGATGTGATGTGTAAAAGTAAGATGTGATATATAGATTATTAGTAAAAAGGTATGATGTGATAGGTAGGGTATGAAAAAGTAAGGGATAAAAGAGGTTTTTTAAGGGAAAAAAAGTTTATTTGGGGACAAAGAAAAAATAAAAGGGGAAGTTTATTTAGGGACGAAGAGAGTATAATTTTATTTAATGATAGATCAAATGTTAAAAATAAATCACTACAAAAATTTAAATTAAACAAATACTCAATAACATAGGTAGTAAAATTTAAAAAGTGTATCAAAATTTCACAAATTATAACACAAAAATATTAATGGCACATAGCTGTATTATTTTGTGAAATTAGAAAAAATAGAAAAAATCGAATAAAGTCTCACTCTAAAATTGATAAATGAGTCTATAAAAAGAAAATTATTGGAGAGTATTGCAGAAAAATGTTGTTTTTGCAGAGGAGAAGAGAGAAAATCAACGAGAGGTTGAGAATTTTGCAGAACCTCGTCCCAAATGGAACAAAGGTCGACATTAGTACCATGCTTGAAGAGGCCGTTCACTATGTCAAATTTCTGCAGCTTCAAATTAAGGTGAGTAATTGGAATTTTAAATTTCTCTAATTGTCTAATCTCTATTCTCCAGAAGTAACTTTATTTATTTATTGCAAAGCTCTACCGAGAATTGAATACCCATTACATGCATTTTACATATCCATTCTCCTGTTCTAATATCTCTCTCTCTCTCTATATATATGTGTGTGGGCGCGCGCGCGCACACACATATACATATATATATATATATATACACATATACATATATATATATACATACATACATACATATATATATATATATATATATATATATGTATGTATGTACCTATATAGACCCACATACATATACATAAAGGGTGCGGTTTAGGTGAGAATGAACCTTATCGTGACAATGATGCATTTTGGGGCCACCACGATAAATTTTGAACTTGTAGTGGTGCATTTTCAACACTAGCAGAAAAGTTTGATATATATATTACCACCACGATTTTTCAATTTTTTTATATTTTTTATTTTTAATAGCCCATAGATCTTAAATCTAATGGATCGTATGCATTCTTATTTCTTTCACTATGCATCATTCTCATTTGAACCAAATTCTATATATATATATATGTACACACACACACAAATATATATATATACACACACACAGATATATATATATATATATGATCGACTCCAGTCAGATGACACCTTATGATAAGATGACATGCTATGGTCGAATGACGTAAAGCTCATCACTGCAAATTACAAAGCTCAGCCACATCAATTGCAAAGCTCATCAAGCTACATGGCAAAGCTCACCATGTTTTCTCAACATTTTTTTAAAAAAATCAAAGGACTAAACTTTGACCCATGTTAGCTAGACTTTGACCGCTGACTGCTGCCATCCGCCGCTGGTTAATGGCGGTCAGTGTCATCTTTTGATTTTTTTAAAAAAATTAACCTAAAAATTTGGTGAGTTTTGTGTGTGTGTGCTTGGTGAGCTTTGCACTGAGCATGAGCGAGTTTTGTTCTTAGGGTTTGTCAGCATTGAAACTTCAAAATTTTAAAAATTCAAAGTGTGAAAAAATCATTGTGATCTTTCCTATATATTTTGGTGAGCTTCACAGTTGCTGTGAGTGAGCTCAGTGATTCGTGTATAAAACATGAAACTCTTATTAAGGTATACTTTTATTGTTTAACTTTCACTTTAGTCTTTTTCCCATGTATATCTTCGATGTACAAAAAATACAATCTCCATCTATAAGACTCTAACATTATTTATATGTAACTTTCAAAAAGTTTACAAAAAGTATGGAAATTTTAATAGTCCTTTATAAATGGGGAGTTTCCATATTTAGTCCACACTTATCAAACATTATGTTGACAGTCCTTATTAATTGGGTATCATTCCACGTTTAGTCATCCACCTATTTTTCTGTCTCCGTGTTGTTACACAAGGACCAAACGTGGAATGATACCCAAGCAATAAGGACCTCAAAAATAATATTTGATATTATGCACTAAATATTCAAATTCCCCCCTTATAAATTACTATCTGGAGAATTTACTTTTTTAAAACAATAAACCATAATAATAATAAAACCTTTGAGTATTTTGTCTAATTTTAATTTTTTGCAGTCAAACATTTTCAACGTTTGACCTATAATTAAATAAAATATATATGGTATAATGTCATTGAAGAATTTCATGTTGTATTTCTCAAAATACGAGTTTACACTGTGACATAATGACATTATATAATTGTATTATATATTGGCATTATTTGCATCATGTTCTTATATATTAGCATTATTAGCATTATACCTTCAAATTACTTTTTAATTCCTATTAATTTCAAACAGATTCTCGTATTAAAAAACAAATTTTGTGATAAACTATTTTTTGTGGTGTACAATTTTTTATTTTTTAATAAATAAACTACTGTTATACATTTTTCCTATCTATCAATATTTATATTAAAAGTGGTTTAAAAAGAACAAATTCTCCAAATAGTCCTTTATAACGAGGGAATTTCCATATTTAGTCCATATTATCAAATATTATTTTTGTGGTCCTTATTGATTGAGTACCATTCCACATTTGGTCCTTGTCTAACGGCACGGAGACGAAAAAACAGACGGAGGACTAAACGTGGAATGATACCCAATTAATAAGAAATGTCTACTTAATATTTGATAAATATGGACTGAATATGGAAACCCCCAATTTATAAAAGACTATTTAGAGAATCTACTCTAAAATGATTTATCCTTCTTCTTCTGTCTCTCCTTTCTTCTTTAACAGCATCCACCTTTTGTGTTGTCGTTCTTTCGTTTTTTGTCATCCCACTCTCCCCGTGGAAGTTGTTAGTTTTGTCTTTTGTGGGAAAATATATGAGGCAAAAAAGCTGAGGTCTAACACTATATTCTCGTTAAACAAATGTCTTCTAAGAAAGTAAGAAGCGGATAGTTAGATCATGTATTGAATCTATTTTCTAGGAGATTAGGTAGAATTAGGAAAGGATTACGTTTACCATATACTATCCCCCTTATTTCTTTCTATATAGTCCCTCCATTCCAAAACTAAGTCTCATTTGAAATTACCTTTGACTAAATTCATTTTCACTATAATTTATTTAAATAACAAAAAGATACTTTAAAATAAAAATTACGTAGTAAAAAAAGTAACAAAAGACATATATCATTTTAACAAATTATTAATGAAATTAAGGGAAAAATATTTTTTTACCTTAAATAGTAAATGAGACATTAGTCTTGAGATGAAGGGAGCATATATAAAAAATTTATCTGTACTCCTCATCTATGAGAGTAACGAATAGAAGTCACTCTAAATAGGACTAAAACATAGAAAAAGTACTAAAATAGAAGTTTCATATTTTTATTCCTGAAAAAAGAACTTCGTATTGTGATTATGTGGTTACAATGTGGCACTGTATATGTGTACAATACTATACTTTTTAGTAATTTACATGACCATGTTTGGTAATGAAAATGCATTTTAACTCCTATTTTGGGAATAAAAACATGGAAGTCCTATTTTGGTATATCTTCAATATTTTACTCATACTTTAGTCTTTTCCCCATTAATGAAACTGAAAATAATAATATATTGGGAGAAAGAATTTCTATTGTATTTCTCATGATACAATATGAAGAATGGCTGTCTATATATAGAATCTCACAGGCTATGAACTCTATATGGAAACAATTACAAAAGGAAAGGAAATCAACATATGCAGGGAAACTATCATATATATATATTAATATAATAATATATGCAGAAATATTGTTTCCTTTAACACCCCTCCCTCAAGTTTGAGCGTGCAAAAGCGAAATGCCCAACATGGGAATAAGAAATTCCAAACGTGATTTACCCAACGCCTTTGTATCTATATCTGCAAGCTGGTGTTAGGAGAAACATGACGCGTACGAATCACACTACGAAGGAGCTCATCACGGACAAAATGACATTCGATTTCAATATATTTCATGCGCTCATGGAAAATTGGATTAGCTGTAATGTGAAGTGCACTTGTGCTATCACAATGAATAGTCAAAGGATTAGGATGCAAATCCCCAGGGAGCGCAAAAGACTCGTTAATCACTTCAGCTCACAGCTAACGACAGCTAGAGCCGTATACTCAGCTTCACCACACGATCGTGTCCAATAAGTGAATTCCTGAGCTGAACAAAGCATCTAGTTAAAGAGTACCTCGTAAGAGGGCACGCGGCCCAATCAGAGTCACACGCCTCATTAAGTTGTAATTGACAATCTACAAAGAGGAGAATACCACGTCTTGGACACCCTTTCAAATGCCCAACAATACCAAGGACAACAACCCACTGATCCTCTCGTGGTTCCTTCAAGATCTGTGCTAAAATATGCACAACATTAGACAACTCTAGGTGAGTGATAGATAAATAAACCAAACGCCCAACTAGGTGATGATAAGGTTCTAGCTCAACAAGAACCAGAGCTTGGAAATGACCCAAGTGATGATTGGGCTCCATCGGTGCTCCCAACACTCTGGCACCCAACAAACCTGTCTTAGTAATAATATCTATAGTATACTTTCGTTGACAAAGAAAGAGTTTAGATGCACATAGAGCCATTTCAATGCCAAGAAAGAATTTCATAGCTCTCAAGTCCTTTATGTGAAAACAATAAACCAAATACATTTTAAATTTGGCCATCATCTCGAGATGATCCCTAGCAATAATCAAACAATCCACATAGATCAGAACATGAATTACTCCTTTATTTTCCAACAAATGAGAATAATGAATAAATCGAGATGGATTGAACAGATCCATATTGTCTCAAAGCTCTAGACAACTTAGCAAACCAATATCGTGGTGCTTGTTTTAAGCAATACAGATACTTTTAAAATTTGCAAACCATATTAGAAGAGTTGGAAAAACCTGGTGGCAAACACATATGTACCTCATCTTGATGTTCTCCATGCAAAAATTCATTGTGAATATCCATTTGATGTAGCTCCAAGCCCCGAGTAGCCACAATAGGCAAAAGTGTTTGTACTATGATTAGTTTTACCACAGGTGCAAGCGTCTCATTGTAATCGAGACCTTCCACCTGATGGTTACCAAGTATGACAAACCTAGCTTTCTATCTCTCAACACTTCCATCCACCTTGCGTTTAATCTTATATACCAACTTGCAACCCAATCGCTTCTTATGATGAGGTAGGGAAGTAAGTTTCCAAGTACCGTTGGCTTCTAAAGCATCAAGTTCTTCAGACATGGCCTTTCTCCATTGCTCATGTTGGAACACCTTTTTGAATGTATTAGGCTAAACTTCGGCATCAAATGTTATAGGGAAACACTTGTATTTGTCAGAGAACCGCTTCTAAGAAATGTATGACGAGAGCGGACATTTTCAATTCTCCCCAACAACGTATTGGCAATATGCATAACATAGTCTTTGAGGTGCACATTCAGGTGTTTTTCACTTCATCTGCCCCGTAAAACTTCTTTTGTGGGCTGTGATGTCAGGAGGCAATTTTCTCATAGACGACCTGGTGGGCTCAAAAAATTCCTAAGTGGAAGGTAAGTTTACCCACCGGAACTACCTAATTCTAACTAGCGTTGGTCTTCAGCCACAAAGCAACTAACTCGTCCATTCCCTCCAGGGCAGCTGTTTGAAAGTTCTAAGAACTTTTGAAGGTTTCGATTGCCACCATCCTGATGTCGTGAAGATGGCTAACCTGTAACACCCTAATTCGTCCAGGTCTACAATCCCTTCTAGACTAAAGTATAAGAATGGAATTCGTAAACATTCAAAATATTTCAAACATTTTAAAACTTTATTTCATTATAAACCATTTAGGATAGTAACAGAGTATTTAAAGTTGCGGAAGCTTAATAAATCAGAATTACAAACATAATAAATTTATGTCTTTTAAACCAGTAATTCAAATTCACACATCCATCCCGACCATCTCGCCCCATTTGTCTCCAGGAATTCATCACCTCATTCTTTTGTTTCAATATTCAACAATCATATTCATATTCATATTCATCATTCATCAACAATATCCTTAACTATTCTTAGTCTAAAGCCAATCTCTTTAATGTTTACCAACTCTTAAACGAATTCTAGTTTAGGATACTTCTAACTAAATCTTAAACTATATTCTAGTTTAAGGTACTCCTAACCAACTCTAAAGCTCTGCGTGGTTTAAGGTACAAAGTTTTAAAAAGGTTTTCCAACTCTTAAACTAGCCTTCGCTTAAGGTACATCCAGAAAACTGAACAGCGGAATGCTCACTGTCGGGTTCGGTGGTATCCCCAAACGATTGATCCTCAAGTTTGGTTTGCGGATCCCGTACGTACGTTTTTACCCAGACTACCGAATATTCATAGTTACACCCGCAAGGCCTATTTCTAATCCATCTTAGAGGTCTTCTAGATAGTATTAGAAACCAATTGTCAACATGGATATATCCTATAGTTTTTCTAGATATCCTTTACAATACAAATCCTTTCATAATCATCAATGTACTCATTTTAAATCATGGTTCAATCATTCACAATAATCATTTTAATCACTAGGTTCATCAATATTTAATCATCAATAATCATAATCATCCTTAATAATAATCATCATATTATTTAATAACAATTACCGGCCTAGCGTCGAGCGTTAACACTCTAGCTTATCGTCATGCATCACATAAGGTTTTATTTATTTGTCAAAAATATCACTTTTATAGTGAGAAATCATCTTTATATTGGTCATAATTTATTGGTATCAAAAATAGAATTTGATAGTTCAAAAATCGGGTTTCGGGAAAAATATCGGCTTCTGGACGGTACCTGGTATGGTACCTTGGTACCGTGTCACGGTACCGGTACCTCGGTACCGTGTCATGGTACCGGTACCTCGGTACCGTGTCACAGTACCTGGGTACTGACCACCGCCAAAGAGCGGTGGTTAACGGTAGATGGCCTACCGTGGTCACGGTATAGCCTACCATACCGGCGGTACCTAGGTACCGTTCGGGTAGTATGGTGATACTGTACTACGCGTAGTCTTGAACAGTGTCATCTTCAACCTCGTGCCAATTTTCGGAAATGTCATTTTTAGTCGCCAAACTTCAATTAAACTATATATAAATGCTCTCCAAGGTTCATAGATCATTTTAGTGTCATTAGTTCGTAGTTTTAACAACAATTTCAAAGTTTATGATTCTTAGTTCTTCAAATTTGTCAAACAAAAAACTCAACTAAAAGACCATTTATAAATGTAGAAACAATCTATACGAACATTCTAGTCACTAGATATATCTACGGGCTTACCTCGAGCTTAAACGGAGATTTTGGAAATTTTCCAACAAAACTTCTGGCAACGATTACTCCCAACTCCGGCGACCTCAAGCTTTCTAGGCAGCACCAATGAACTCTCCACTCAACAAGGAACAAGATGAGACTAATTTTGGGAAGATTAGTGAAGAAATGAGGACAAGAGGTTACTCTTTATATAAGGAGAAGAAGGTAGAAGCTGCCAAGGTTGTCACTGCAATAATCCTCCTTCGGTGATTCTACGATCGGCTAGTGCGCTGGGAGGCGCTGTCTCCACAATTTCACTGATTGGGACTAATTTGGTCCTAGTCGGGGTACACTTTTTGGTCCAACTTTATTCGAATTGAAATCCGGTTGCACCATTGCGGTCGGACAGTTAAACTCTATCCAACGATATAATTTTTAGGTTTATTTGTAATACTTTTTCCAATAACATATTTTTGGTGTTTTACTTTCATAGAGTCAAAATTGATTTAATTGATGTTTATTCAAAAAGGTTCTTTCATTTAATTCATATTACTTATATTCATGATTTATTTCAATAAATCATTTCAAAGTTCATATCATAAACAAATTCTTTATTTATTCTTCATTTGGGTATGTACTTTGGTTCCAAATCAAGATTACACAATAAGTCAATATATTGGATTTATCTCTATGAGATTTATCCAGATTGTGATATTAGATATCAAAACATATTTCATTTCGGTCCAAAGCCCAACAATAATTTATTTTAATCAAAACAATGTTGATTAATTGAATAATAATTCAATAATAATTCTAGGGTATGTTTTGGGGCGTTACAGAACCGGCTCTTTCTTCTTTGTTTCCACTACACCTACCCAGGTGGACAAGTTGCACCTCGCCTCATCCAAGAAAGAAATCTTAGCAGACAATAAAGATTTTCTCCCGCTAGTTTGGTGCATTTCTTTTCCTGCTAGGTGATACGGTCTAGGAGGTCATGTTTCGTTGGCTTTCTTCGAGATATTGGTTGGCATAGTGGTTGGCAGCCTCTCTGAGTTCCTGTTCTCAATAGCAAACAACTCTTTCTCCTTTTCCAAACTCAACTGATGGACAGTCGTCCAAGGGGAAAGCTCGATCAGCTCGAGGAAACCCTATCAAGAAGGGAAGTTGATGTCAAAAGTCTACTCGTTAGTCAAAGTAAAGGAAAGCAAAATCTAGAGTAACAACCTTGCTGATGTTGAGAATAACAGAATGGACCACGACCTTGTCGTCCCAGGAAACAAGGGAGCCTTGGTTGACAGAGGGTACCGTGGCCAATCAATACAGCCACCTTCAAAGACTTGTTGGGAGGAATGTGTAACTGGACTGTCTTGATCCTCGTCTTAAAATTGATGGTTGACGTGGGAGGAGGACATGCTGGAGAAGATGGCTTTTCAAGAGGACCACCCTTAGGCCTCTCTTTGGTGGAAGGAGAGGCAGCCACAGTCTCCTTAGTCTTGAGGAAAGTGTGGGCAGAACGTTCGGGCTCAACGGACGACCCCTCAACCTCCTGATTGGCAACCACAACTTGGTTGCTCGTGGAAGGCTCTTCACGACCTAAAGAAGGTTGTTTCGATCCCAAAATGGGAGCACCTTGTTTCCTTTTCTTCCCAAGCTTGTGGAGGAGGTCACCTGCATCCATATTTGTTTCCTCCTTGACTAAGCGGAAAGTAAAAACAAATTTACGAGTTAATGCAAACATGATACAGAGTAGGAAGGAAACATTAAGAAATGGATAGAACAAGAAAACTCCCCAAAGGGGCCGAAGTGGAGGTTCCTCGTAGAAATGTCCTTCAGTAGGTTCGGTTGATGTCGATGTTCGTCACGAACGAACTCAAACCCAAAATTTGCCAAAGACTCCTCGGTCACCAATGTCTCTACCTCAAATGCCCCATGAAAGTGTAACACCCTAATTCGTCCAGGTCTGCAGCCCCTTTCAGACTAAAGTATTAACTTGGTAACGTAAAAATTCCAAACATTTAACAGCTTTATTTCAAACAATCATGAAAAAATATTTCATAATAACATTGTAGTAAAATTATTGAAAATAGTGCGGAAGCGATTTGCAAATTACAAAAGTATGGTCATCTCATGTGATAAAATCATTTACTTAAATAGTATATTTGTGCATGTCCACGCATCACCTCCATCTCAGTATTCTCCAGAATAGGCTCCACATTTATTCTCTCTCATACCTACGTGTAGAAAGATGAAAAAGTTTACACGCTCAGCAATGAAGCTGAGTGGTACCATGGCACAACAAAAGAATTTATAGAATAATTTCTTAAACAATAACAATCGCATATATGTTCAAATATTTGTCTTGTGATATTTAAATCCGTCTTTGTTATTTTAACAATGATAATGAATATAGTCGATCTTAAATATCATCATTCAAACTTATATAGGAATCACTCCACAGTTCACAATAATCCCATGCCATTTTTGTTATCACAATATTCATCATTTATCACACATAATTTCATATCAAGTTTTATCACAAATAATTGCTCTTAACTTACTCTAAGCTAATGCCAAATCATAACAATGATCTTAAAATATTCTTAGTCTAAGGACAAATTCATATTGATAACTGGGCTTTTACATTATAACCAGTCTAAGACAATATTTCTAACCAGGCTCTTAAACTATAATTAGTTAATGGCAGAACAAAAGAATCGATGATCCATCCTACGAGTCTTATGGATCACGTACCAACCGAACAATGAACTGTCGGGTGGGTGATATCTCCAAACGAGTAATCCTCAAGTTTGGTTTGGATCCCGTACGTATATTTTAACCCTGATTATTGAATTGGTCACATAGGTATATCTTAGAGTTCTTCTAGATACCCTTAACAAAACATATTATTTTCATAATCATCAATACATTCATTTCCAAACATGGTTCAATCATTCATAATCATTATTTTAATCATAATATTCATCAAGTATTGATCAAAATCAACTTTTAATAATAATCATCATAATATCCAATAACAATTAACAGCCTAGTGTCGAGTGTTAACACTCTAGCTTACCGTCATACATCACATAGGGTTCTTGAATTTGTCAAAACATCATATTTAATTCTAAAAATCATTTTCATATTGATCATAATTGATTGGTATAAAAATACAATTTTATAGCTTCAAAAAAGCATTTTTGGACTTAAAAATGTTCATAACGGTTGACCGTTGGGTTCGAACGGTCTGCCGTACCGTTCTAGAAAAATTCTCGTCATACGGTACATGGATAAGGTATGTAGCTATCGTATACGCGCAAGACAGACGCAATCACTATTCATCATCTTCAACTTTCGATCCAATTTCTCAAAACACCATTTAAGTTTCTAAGCTTTAAACTAACTTCACAAAAATGTTTTCTAACATCCATAGATCATTCACAAACAATTTATTTGAAGCTTTAACAATAAAAGAATTTTGGTGATTATGAATATCAAAATATTTATATTTTCAAATATATATGAATCAATTTGTTCAAGGATCATTCGAATGCCTTCTAAAGTTGTTTAAAATCGTGGTACAGACCTGGAAATCGACATGATAAAGCTCAACGAATTATGGGGAGCGAAAACAACGTCGGAAATATCAAAACTCATCACTTCCCGTCACCACTGTACCAGCCCTGGTTCTCGGGTCATATCTTCTTCGTTACTAAACGAAATCGCGAACTGTTTGAAGCTACGGATTTCTAAGACATAAGGCTACAACTTTTGTTTATAAATTAGATTAAATTAACGAAGTTTAGATGGTGTAAAAATGCTCACAAGTGTGGGATGATTTGCACAGGGAATGTTTTCTTCATTCAACTTTCCCGGGCAACTTCCGGCAAGAATCGTGTCTACCTCGGGTGACTTTAACAACGGCGATCACTTACGTATTGTTCTTCACATAACAAGGAGTAGAATAGAAGTGGGAAGGAATTTGGTTATGGAATGAAGGAGAACAAGTATTTCTTATATAGGCAAGAAGAAGGAAATAAAACCAAAAATGTCACTTCTCCAAATCTTTGGTTCGGCGAAGTGGGGTTTTATTTTGCAATTTTTATGCGATCCTAGGAGGTTTACATGTCTCTCAGTGATTATGACTAATCTTTATCTCAGTTGGGGTACGCCTTTTGGTCCAACTTTCTCTAAATTGAAATCTGATTGCACCGTTGCGATCAGACAATCAAGCTCTACACAACGATACAATTATCATATTTTTCTGAAATACTTTTTCTGACACCATATTTTTAGGTGTTGACTTTGACATAGTCAAAATTGAATTAATTGATATATAATAAAAATTAGTCTCATATTCAATCAATATTGTTCAATTTAAATAATTTATTTCAATAAATCATTTTACAACACTTCACGTCTTTAACCACTTCTCATTTTTATGCAAATTACATATTTAAAATGTCACAACTCAAAATCGGTACATCAGATTTGTTCATAAAACATATCGTTCGATTTGTCTCTTCGAGACCTATCCATAAAATTCAATTTTAGAAAAAGATTCTTATTTTGAATTTTTTTGTCTTTTTTGGTCAAACATAGAAATAATACTTTGTTGGGTCAAAATATAGTTTTAAAAATACATTTATCATAAAATAAGTTTTAGGCCATGTTACGTTTTGGGGCGTTACAGGTTGAGTTTATCGGTATCGCCTAATAGTTTTACTATACGGGCTAGAGCTGGTATCTGAGGAAAAGATGGGCGACCGGAAGCCGTAAAAGGGGACTCTAGCCTAGGGGAAACAAAGATGAAAAAAAGGCTTGCATTCATGATTGGATCCTTTCTTTTTACTCGTAAAGATCTTACTAGACCATTGAGACTGGGAGGCATTGGAAGCCCATTCCCTGGTGCCCTTCGTCACTTTGAACAGAAAAATAAAATGTTCAAGGGACGGAACAACTCCGGTTGCGCGACACCTAACTAGGTAACCTGCTATGTATCTATAGGAATTGGAGACCAGTTGACAAGGCAAGAGATCGTGGAGATTGAGGTATTCGACGACCAAATTGTTAAGAGGAAAGCACAAGCCGCGTTGTAAAGAGTGAAGGTGGATGGTAAAGAACACTTCTGGAGCGTCTAGAGTAGTAGCTATTTTTGCTCAGCCTAAGGACCTCGATCATGGGTCCTACCATGCTAGAAGCATCTGTAAAGTCTTGATCGGACGTCTGGAAATGGCAAAGCGCCATCATTGGCGGACCTACAATGGTCCAAGTGGGGTCAAGTGCACCCACTAATTTTTTCTTCTAATGCTAGCTACAGTACCACTTTCACAATTTTCCACTCCCACAACTCTTAGTATGAACTATAAAGTATATTAGGGTGGATTCACACTGTTAGCCACATATACTACGGAGTATCATAGAGTATCTACTTCTTTTTTGCTCAAGGTAGTGCCTTAGTTGTCAAGAAGAGTAGCTTTTGTTTATTTAGGCGTTTTGATTGATTATTTGATAAAATAAAATATTTTTATCACTTGTTTTGTAGAACTTTTGAGGTAAATTTTAAATATGTAAGTTTTATTTTTAATTTCTATACCAATCTTCAAAAATGAATTTAAAAAATTAAAATTTTGTTTCGTTTTACATAAAATGTAAAATATTTTAGAACAGAAAGAGTAGATATTATGAAAAATATTATGAACCCACTCTCACAAAACTCTGGGTCCGCCACTGAGCGCCATGACATTCTCCTTGAGATCAACTCACTTACTATGTTATACCCAAGCTCAGGTTTTTAAAGGAACTATCTTGTTAAGAACAGGGAAGAAATAATCGATTGTCCAAAGTGGATAATCGATTATCAGGGGCTTCAGTTTCTGGGGGCAATTCTCTGGGGATTTTCTGGGAGGGGAGATAATCGATTTACAGGAGGTGTCAATCGATTATCGAGGATGGCATGTTTTTTTGGAAAGGCTGATAATCGATTATTGGAGACTGATAATCGACTATTGAGGGCTGCAGGTGTTTCACGAAGGATAGATAATCGATTTCCAGTGGGGATAATCGATTATTTGACAGCTCGAGACAGGAACAAGGTACTTCTTTGGAAAGAAAAATCAACCAAATTGGTGTTAAGGGATATTACACACCCTTATCTTAACTTGGGGTTGAATCTAGCATTTAAATAAGATATTACACACTTACTTAAATAACTAGAACCTAAAACTCACACTCAAGAGAACCACTCTTAAGATATAGGGTTAGGAATTTGGAATGAAACACACAAGTGGATCACTTAGATTAAAATTGGAATACAATATGTGTTTACAATGCTCAGGGATGAGCTTATATAGGCATAGAAAAGGGAGACTACCAAGTCTCTTATTCACACAAATTAAAGAAATTAATGGCCACTTGTTGATGTTCCTTTAGTGGGAAAAATACAGGGATTATTGTACTTGTAGGGCAGGATTTTGGCTATTAGTGGTGGGAGGGAATATGTGAATATAATTCACAATTGATTGGCTTAGGTGGGGTTGTTTTGGGCAGGAGAAAATGGGTGGGGTAGCAGGTTACTTGGAGGTATTTCCTGGGCTGGATATGGGGTAAAAACATGGGGAATTGAAGGGTGTGGGTGTGGGTCAAGGTGTCTTGGATTTTATGGCTGTTTGTTTAGCCAAGTTCAGGTGTAAAGGAGTGGTATTGGCAGGGTTGTGGCATGAGGTTTTTGGCCAGGATGAAGGAAAAATAAATGTAGTTTTGGGTTTATTATTTTGGATATTTTGGGGTTTGGATTGGATGAGAATGGCTGGGCCTTTTAAGTTGGAGTTGGGCTCAGGGAAATTATGGCTATGTGGCGGGTTTTGGGATTGATAAGTTCGGTCCAAAAGGAATCATAACACTTAGCCATTATTCCGTTAATTTGTTTAACGACTTTAGAGTCGTTGGTAGTCGCCCGGGGTATATCATCCTCCCCTTCTTCAAAAGAGTTTGTCCTCAAACTCGGAATTTCTTCAGGCTCAAAGTACGTTCTAATGTCCTTGACATTGAAAGTAGCCGATACTCCATAATCTCCCGGAAGGTTAATCTTGTAGGCATTGTCATTGATTTTCTCTATGATTTCAAACGGGCCATCGGCTCTTGGCAGCAACTTTGACTTGCGTTTCGTGGGGAAACGTTCTTTCCGAAGGTGAATCCAAACTAGGTCTCCTGGTTGGAAGTGGACGTTCTTCCTTCCTCTGTTGATGCGTGCACTTACCTTCTCGTTTATAGCTTCAATCTTCTCTCGACCCCTGGCGTGAAGGTCTTGGATTTCCTTTGACCGCTTGTCCGCTTCCCAACTATATTTGGTTTCCGTGATGGTCGGATCAAGTTCAAGTGGGGTCAAGGGGTTCGAACCATAGACCACTGTGAATGGGGATAGTCCGGTAGTCTTGTTCGGGGTTCGGTTGTAGGCAAACTCGGCGTGTGGAAGAAGCTCCTCCCATTGCTTGATGTTCTTCTTGATGAGGGCTCGTAAGAGTGTTCCCAGGGTGCAGTTGGTGACCTCGGTTTGGCCATCGGTTTGTGGGTGGCTTGACGTACTAAACTTCAGTTTAGTACCCATTTTTCTCCAAAGAGTCATCCAAAAATGACTAAGGAATTTGGTGACTCTGCCTGATACCATGCTTCGAGGAACGCCATGGAGTTTGACTATCTGTCGAAAGTAGATATCCGCAACTTGTGAAGCATCATAGGTGGTAACATATGGCACGAAATGGGCCATCTTTGAGAAACGGTCCACGACAACCATGATCGAGTCTTTGCCCCGCTGCGTCCTCGGTAGCCCGGTGATGAAATCCAAGCTAATATCTTCCCATGGTGCACAAGGAACGGGTAGCGGCATGTGCTTTCCTTGGGGTAGTGAGTGACTCTTTGCTAGGTGGCATGTGTTGCAACGCTTGATAAAATGCTCGACGTCTCGTTCCATCTTTGGCAAGTGGTAATGCTCCTTCATCATCATGTGAGTCTTGTCGACTCCATAATGACCAGCTAGGCCTCCTCCGTGGACTTCTTCAATGAGGGTTTCGCGCATACTGCTTTTTGGGACGCACAGTTGGTTACTACGGAAGAGATAATCGTCTTTGACAAGAAAATATCCACATGGCCGAATGAGGCACTTAGAATAAGCGTCCTTGAAGTCTTCATCTTCCTTGTACAGCTCCTGCAAAAACTCAAAACCAACAAGTTTGGTACTAAGTACCGTTAGTAATAAATACCTCCGGGACAAGGCATCGGCGCCCTTGTTCATGGTTCCGTTTTTGTATTTGATGGTGAAGGTGAAGGTTTGGATATACTCGACCCATTTAGCATGTCGGGGTCGGAGTTTATGTTGCCCTTGGATGTACTTTAGAGCCTCATGCTCGGAATGTTAGATGAATTCCTTGCTCACGAGATAATGGCGCCAATGCTCAAGTGACCGCACCAATGCATAGAACTCCTTGTCGTATGTGGAATACCTCCTTGTGTCGTTTAGCTTCTCGCTAAAGTACGACACCGGGTGCCCTTCTTGGGATAGGACAGCTCCGATTCCAACTCCTGAGGCATTACACTCGACCTCGAATAGTTTGTAAAAACTAGGAAGGGCTAACACGGGGGCATGTGTTAATCGCTCCTTGATTGTTTCAAAGGCCTGTTGGGCCTTGGAGTTCCACTCGAATTTCTGATTTTTCGTCAAATCCGTGATAGGTGCCGTGATGGTGCTAAAATCCTTCACAAATCTCCGGTAGAAAGAGGCAAGACCATGAAAACTCCGAACTTGTTGCATAGTGGTGGGGGTCGGCCATTCTCTAATGGCTTGTGTCTTCTGTTCGTCCACCCGTATGCCTTCACTTGAGATAAAGTATCCCAAGAACTCCGTTTCTTGCGAAAAGAATTGGCTCTTTTCGAGGTTGCCGTAGAGTTTCTCCTTGTCCAACTTCTTAATCACCAAAGTGAGGTGATTAGCATGATCTTCTTCATTTTTGCTATAAATCAGAATGTCGTCAAAGTAGTGAGGTGATTAGCATGATCTTCTGCGTTTGGAGAGGTCTTCAAACGCAGCTTGTCTATCATGGTTTTGGACGCCACATTGGTGCAACTTCCACTATCAATGATAAGCGAACATACCTTCTTTTGGACCGTACAACGTGTGTGAAAGATGTTTTCACGCTGCACTTGTTCTTCGGGGCAGGTTATAGCACTCAAGGTCCTTCGGATCACCAAGAGTTCTCCTTCATCGGGGCCAACAAACTCGTCTAGTTCTTCGACTTCTTCAACCTCTTCTTTAACCCAAGTTGGGTCAAAGTCTTCTTCATCACATTCGACAATGGCCATCACCTTCTTATTAGGGCATTCATTGGCGTAATGACCTCGTCCTTGGCACTCTTTCGTTTATCCACGAAAGAACCAACCTAGTCGGGCCCCACACTTTCTCCTCCTCCCCAAAGAACTCCATCTACCCCTCCTCCTCCTCCCCAAACACGGCACCCTTCATCACCCCAAAAACCCCCAACACATTCCATTAAAACCACTCCCCATTCCACCAAACCTACAGCTCCTCATCCCAGCACCCTTTCCCCATCAATTTTTGGAGTAAAGGGCTTTGGATTTCTTATGTTGAGCTTCAACTTTGAGGGACAACTTTGTGAGTTCTTCAAGAGAGTCGTAACTTTGCAACTCCACCGTATTGGCTATTTGCAGGTTTAAGCCAAATAGGTAACAAACAAAGGTTTGTTCGTCATCTTCTTGCAAGTCACATCTTAGCAAGAGCTCTTCAAACTCCCGGTTATATTCTTCAACGGACTTAGAACCTTGCCTAAGCGTTTGAAGCTTAGCAAAATTCTCACGAACATATTCGGCGGGTAAAAACTTCTTTTTTAGAAGGGACCTCATTTTTGCCCACGTGGACACCAGTTCTTTGTCATTTCTTCTCCTCTTGGTGCACGTATTAGTCCACCAAGTTGATGCATACTTCCGGAACTTTAAGGCCACTATCTTGACCTTCTTTTCATCGGAAACATCTTCGAAGTCAAAGACACGTTCCACTGTTTCTAGCCACTCGAGGAACTCGTCCGGGTCATTCTTCCCTTCAAAAGTTGGAATGTCAACTTTGAAGTCAGAACCTTCAGTGGCTTTAGGCTTCATGGTTCCACTAGAACTAACATCTTCTTCACGGTCACTTCCTTGGAGCTCGTTGAGTTTGATCTTCGTAAGCTTGGCTACCTCTTTAGCCAAGTACTCCACTTGTGCCTTCAAGGCTGTATTTGAGGCAATGAGCTCTTCATGGGACATAGTTCGGGATTCATTCGACATGGTTGAAGTGGGAAAAGGTAAGGAAGGTCGTTTAGTTTGGCTTTGGGGGTTTTTTTTGGGAAGAGGAAAGGGAGTGATGGTGAGTGGCCCTTGGGGATGTTCAACACTTAGCTTTGATACCAAATGTTATACCCAAGCTCAGGTTTTTAAAGTAACTATCTTATTAAGAACAGGGAAGAAATAATCGATTGTCCAAAGTGGATAATCGATTATCAGGGGCTTCAGTTTCTGGGGGAAATTTTCTGGGGATTTTCTGGGAGGGGAGATAATTGATTTACAGGAGGTGTCAATCGATTATCGAGGATGGCAGGTTTTTTTTTGGAAAGGCTGATAATCGATTATTGGAGACTGATAATCGACTATTGAGGGTTGCAGGTGTTTCACGAAGGATAGATAATCGATTTCCAGTGGGGATAATCAATTATTTGACAGCTCGAGACAGGAACAAGGCACTTCTTTGGAAAGAAAAATAAACCAAATTGGTGTTAAGGGATATTACACACCCTTATCTTAACTTGGGGTTGAATCTAGCATTTAAATAAGATATTACACACTTACTTAAATAACTAGAACCTAAAACTCACACTCAAGAGAACCACTCTTAAGATATAGGATTAGGAATTTGGAATGAAACACACAAGTGGATCACATAGATTAAAATTGGAATACAATATGTGTTTACAATGCTCAGGGATGAGCTTATATAGGCATAGAAAAGGGAGACTACCAAGTCTCTTATTCACACAAATTAAAGAAATTAATGGCCACTTGTTGATGTTCCTTTAGTGGGAAAAACACAGGGATTATTGTACTTGTAGGGAAGGATTTTGGCTATTAGTGGTGGGAGGGAATATGTGAATATAATTCACAATTGATTGGCTTAGGTGGGGTTGTTTTGGGCAGGAGAAAATGGGTGGGGTAGCAGGTTACTTGGAGGTATTTCCTGGGCTGGATATGGGGTAAAAACATGGGGAATTGAAGGGTGTGGGTGTGGGTGTGGGTGTGGGTCAAGGTGTCTTAGATTTTATGGTTGTTTGTTTAGCCAAGTTGAGGTGTAAAGGAATGGTATTGGCAGGGTTGTGGCATGAGGTTTTTGGCTAGGGATGAAGGAAAAAATAAATGTAGTTTTGGGTTTATTATTTTGGATATTTTGGGGTTTGGATTGGATGAGAATGGCTAGGCCTTTTAAGTTGGAGTTGGGCTCAGGGAAATTATATCTATGTGGCGGGTTTTAGGATTGATAAGTTCGGTCCAAAAGGAATCATAACAGCCATTTTTCCGTTAATTTGTTTAACGACTTTAGAGTCGTTGGTAGTCGCCCGGGGTATATCATACTAGATGAAACAAAATCAGGGTACGAGTATCGCTTTCGAAGACGACATTTCTTAGATGCCGGATAATCTCCTAGAGAGGAGCCACCTCCAACGGTGAAGCAGGCTCATGCGACCCATTCCGACCAGACATGTGTCCGAGACCGGACGATTCACCCACACCCTGAGGGGTGTACTCAGCGAGAGGCGTTGATGAACATAGATCTGAAGACATATCGATTGGGAAAGAAATTCTAACTTGGAAATGAAGAAGACACTAAATCAGAGGCCGGATTCCGAATTGAATGAAGACATGAGAATGTAAAGAGACACTGAAGCGGGGACGTGGTGGATTTATCGTGAGTAGGAAGGAGGTGGAGTGACAAGTAATGATGGAGTTGGTGAATATTGTGCCTAAGCGCTCGATCGAGGATACAAGACAGCTCCAGCCCGATAACCCAAGAAAAGCATGCAAAGGGTACAAGACAGCTCCTGCCCATTTGAGGAATGAGGAGTGAGGGGCTTGTGATGGGCTATTGGCCCAATTGAGAGGCCTATCCTGAAAGTACATCTGCAACCCACGGCCTAGTTACCCCATGGAGAGTGTGATATGCCAAGTAGTTGGGTCGGGTTGCCTCGATAGGGGTCCAGGATTGTAGCACACCCGAAGACAAGGAGTAGCGGTTAGGGCACGATGAGGTTGCGGCTTCCACGGCCTAGGAGAATTATACAAGATCTAATTACCTTATTTATTGCTTACCTTAGGTGTATCATGTGTAACTATAAATAGAGGGGAAACCCATTAGAACCGTCAAGCTTAACCTAGCCATAAATACCATTAGTTCTGTGTTCTCAAGCTCTATAACTTTCTTATATTACATTCTTCGTGAATCTAATCCAACCTCCAAGTCGGATCTGTAGGTGGAATTCTTTTCAATCAGTAACTAATGAAACATTCTTTTTAATCTTGCAGTTACTAAGCTCAGATGATCTTTGGATGTATGCCCCAATTTCTTACAATGGAATGGACATTAGTCTTTGTCAAAAAGCCATGCAAAATTTGTGACGCACCGGATACTAGGAGATGAATGCAGGTCTTGAAAAAGTGTCAGTACAAACATACAAAATGATTAAATAACTAAAAATAAGAAATATATATATATATATATATATATATATATATATATATATATATATATATATATATATATATATATATATATATATATATATATATATATATAAAAGGAGAAAACGAAAGGGCTCATATGCATGCCTGATCTGAATTGTACTCGTTCTAAAATAAATTTTTTCATTTTGGTTTTCATTTCTTTCAAATAAAATTTTCCCCATTTTGAAAGTTGTTAAGTATTGACTAGTTCGCATTATTTTGTCTCTCATTTTGCATAATTTCCGCCATGAATTTAATTTTTTGTTAACTCCATGAAAGTTACACAGAGAAATTTAATTTGTAATGGATGGGTCATATGTGAAATATACTTCGTAATAAATATACTCCACAGTTAAATTAAGGCACTTTTGTTTGTTACCCTAGGGTTGATAAAGACTACGATAGCATTCCGTTCAATTTATTTTTTCTGCTTATTACTTATTCTTATTAAAATTAGATCAGATCATATTAGATCCAATCAAATCAGATCAGATCATATCAAACCCGATCAGATTCAATCTGATCCGATCAGACCAGATCATATTAGATCAGACCAAATCTAAACAAAATTATTATTATTATTATTATTATTATTATTATTATTATTATTATTATTATTATTATTATTATTATTATTATTATTATTACTATTACTATTATGATTATAATTATTATTAATATTGTTATTATTATTTCTATTATTATAACTATTAATATTAATAATAATATTATTGTTAATATTATTACTATTTTTATTATTACTCTTAATATTACTATTATTATATTTATTATTACTATTGTTATTAATAGTATATTACTATATTGCTATTAAAATTTACTATATTACTATTACTATTATTATTTCTATTATTAATGTTAATATTATTAGTATTAGTATAAGTATTATTATTATTATTACTATTACTGTTACTATTATTACTACGACTATAATTATTAATATTATTATTATTATTATTATTATCATTGTTAATAATATTATTATTAATATCATTATTATTATCATTATTTCTCTTATTATTATTAATAATATTTCTATTATTGTTATTATTTCTATTATTATTATTATTATTATTATTATTATAGTTATTATTATTTCTATTATTATTATTATTCTTGCTTTTATTATCAATATTTCTATTATTATTATTTCTGTAATTATTATTACTATTATTATTATTTTTATTATTATAATTATAATTATTATTACTATTAATATTAATATTATTATAACTATTATAAAAAAAATCTATTTTATTTTTAATCAAATCCATATCAGATCCAATCAGATCAGATCAATTAAGATAAGATCCAATCAGATCATATCAAACCAGATTACATCATATCAGATTAAATCCAATCAGAACAGATCTGACCAGATCAGATTAGAACTTCAAAAAATCATGTTAGATCAAGCGAATTGAACGTAACCTACTTCGTAGTCAGTGATACTATTATTATTATAGTTATTATTATTATTACTATTTCTATTACTTTTATTATAACTATTATAATAAAAATTTTAATTTTAATTTTAATCAAATTCATATTAGATCCAATTAGATCAGACCAAATCAGATCAGATCCGTTCAGATCAGATCGAATCAAATTAGATTAAATCAGATTAAATCCAATCAGATCAGATCTAATCAGATTAGATTAGATCAGACCAGGTCAAATTAGAACTTCAAAAAATCATATTAAATCAGGCGAATGGAACGCAGCCTACTTTCTAATCAGTATTTTATCAGGTAACAATATCTTTTAATCAATGAGGTTTCGTTTAGTACACACAATTAGAATTGAGTTAAAAGATATTTTATGTAATTAAATTGGATAAAATTTAATTAAAATTTAATTCCAAATTTAATTTGTTTGGTAATATTAAGGAATTAATATAGAATTATATTATAATTCCAAATCCTTAATTTGATAACACAAAATTATACTCCCTTCGTCTTGTAAAACCCTTCTTGTCTTAAAAAAATGATATTTTAAAATGAGTTATTTTGGTGTTATTTTCTAATTTTGCCCTGACTTTATAATAGATTAGGATTGTGCAAATGTGTACGATAGACCAGTCATTTTTAGAAAAATAACATTTAATTAAAGTTACTCATTTTAAAGGCGTGCCTTTTTCCCATAAAGAAGGGTATTATGGGAGAGAGGGACTATAAAGAATCCATCCTATTCTTAAAAGGAGATGGGAAATGGACCATTGTATTTCCCGCCCAATTGCATGTCATTGTGAGCCGTTGATCTTTGAGTACATCATCAATCCTCATTATCTACGGTTGATATAAAATCATACATTAATCTACACCTAAAGGAGGAAATAAATTAAAAATGGTAAGATTTGAAAAAGGAAATCCAAAGGAATTTTTTATTTTCTTTCCACCCGTACACTTTTTTTTTGTATTTTTCCTACCATATTTGTGAATAAAACAAATTAAGTAATGAAAGTAGGAAATAACAAAAATGGTAACAATTTTAAAAAAGAAAACAGGAGCAAACCGTGAGTTGTATTGTTTTTTGATTTTTTATCTTCATTTTTGTGAATAAAATCAGTAATAATGAACAAAATGGTAAGAATGTGAAACCAAAATATAACGAATTAGGTAATGAAAGT